CCCCAAAACCCCAAAACCCCTCTAGCTGTTTTAAACAAAATTTTAGATTAATAAATTATTTTTGAAAGTGAAAATTTAAACCTATTTTATAATAATCATGGTGTTAATTTTATTAATTTTATGCAAACTCCTAATTTTTTCATAGTTCTCTCTCACTTAAAGGACTCTTTAAAATCAAGATTCTCACTTTAATAATCATCTACCTAGAGATATTTTGGAGCCAGGACACACTTAGCAAAAATCTAAAGAGAGTTCTAAGGATCAATATGCTTAATCTCATCAAGTAAACTATGAAAGCTAAGAACCATATCAAAGGCTTATAATCCATATGATCCCTCATAGCCATTAAGACCCGGGCTGGTTAAACACTCCATAGGGTTATTACACGTAAAGTGTGATTCAAATACTTAATAGCGTCATGAAGCATATGAAAGTGAATGAAAACAGGACTTTCATATATGCTGAAATGTACTTCTTTGAATAATGGTGGGAATCATAAAATAATTAAACAAAAGAAGATGTTGCTAATTACATAAGAGATGGATGACTTGAAATAGTGAATGGAGGTTGGGTTGCTAGTGATGAAGCTTGTCCACTTTATTTTGATTTGTTACAAAACATTAAAAGAGGTCATGACTTCTTAAATAAAACTTTTGGTGTGATTCCAAAAATGGCTTGGCATGCTGATTCTTTTGGACATTCTTCTTAAACTGCTAAACTTTTCAAAGAACTTGGATTTGAAGGACTATTCTTGGGTAGAATGAATGACTAATATAGAGATAATATGATATCTACCAAGAATATGGCTTTTATTTGGAATCCTACTTTTGAAGGATTAGATTCCGAATATAGAGCACATGATGGAATATATACCCATATCACTCATAATATGTATCATCCTCCATGTGACATTGGTATAGGTAGCTCTATTTTAGTCCAAAGTTATGATCTTTATGAATTCATTAGAAGTAACCTGAAGGTTGATGGAGAGATTAAAATTATATAATGCATTGAAGAATTCGCTTAAGGTTACAAGACATAGAATATTATGATGATGTTTGGGGATGATTTTGCTTTTTCAGATGCTGGTACCACATTTGATTTCCTTGATAAATTTACTTAAAAAATTAATCAAGTAACAACTAGATATACTTTCAAATACAGTACTTTTAGCAAATATTTAAAAGATCTTAAAGAAGAGTTAAAATTTAGAAAGTTGAAGTTAAATCCTTATTATGGAGATTTTATGCCTTTAAAGATGGCTCACTTTGAGCACTATTGGAATGGATATTACACAAGTAGACCAAATCTAAAATATTCTATAAGGTAATTCTCTCAACTAGTCTAATATTCATTGAGTGAGTATTCCCAGTTTTAGTTGAGTCGTGGAGATTCAAAAGATTAGTAATTGATTAGGCTCTCAAAAGCATTGTAAGAGGAATGGGCGTTGCTTATGCATCATGATACTATTACTGGAACATCTGTTGAGTTTGTTATGCGTTAACATCTTGATGAGATTAAATTGTTAAACTAAATGAATGAATATTTCTTGAGCAACAGGCATATTGCAGGAAATATATTTCCTGCTATGTTTTAAGATATTAAACTTATCTATCACCAATCTAATGATGATATTGGAAATCTATTGTTGTTTGGGTTTTAAAATTTTACCTATGTAATTCTGCATAATCCAAGTTGCTTCAGCTAGTTCAACCCTCGATTAAGAGTTGAAAATGTTTATCTAAAATATAATGTAAGAGTTTGGGATTGGGCGATTTAATAGTTCATTGAAGTCAAAATAGATGTGCTTAATTAAAAAAACTTTGATTAAAGTAATTATGCTGATCTCTTCATCTATAAAGAAATACTTCCATTTTCTCATGAAATTTTTGAGATTACATTAGCCCACTAACCATTAAGATAACTTGAAATTTTTGAATATGAATAGAAAGCTCATAATACATATTTGTAACATCATGATGAGAGTGGTGATTTAATCGATGATGAGACACTTATTCAAGAAACTTCTGAAAATTCATTTAATTTTGATGGACTAGACATCGAATAAACACAGAAAAAATCAATTTAAGATGAAATTCCAAAGTCTATAGGGTTCAAAGATACTTGTTTATTAGAGATCGAAGGTGCTAATATGAGGGAGATAGATTTCCGTTTGAATGATCTAGTCTTAAACATGACCATTAGGTTTAAATTTGAACTTAGATATTATCCCTCTTATGATGGCTACAGAGACTCTGGGGGAATCTACATCTTTAAAACAAAGTAATCCGATTCTTCATACTTTAGTGATAGCTTACATTCTTCTGAAAAATAAGATGGGGAATATTAGAGCTCTATATAGTTTAGATATAAAAGTGTTAGCAAGAATACATTTTCTATAGTAACAGTTTTTTTAACTAAAAATGAAGATGGATGCGGAGATATAGAATTCGATGTAAAAAAAGAAGGACTTGAATTTAATGTTGAAGCTACAGTTAATTGGTCCACTGATTAAATAAATAATACTGGGATTTTCTATACAGATTCCAATGGCTTGGAATATGTTAAAAGAATAAGAAAACATGCTTTAGAGGAATAGGATATTAAATCAACTGCTCCTGCTAATTTCTATCCAGTCAATACAGGTATCTTTATAGAAAGTTAAAACAAAACTCTTTAAATGATAGTGATGAATGATAGATCCTAAGCAGGCTCCGGGTTTAGAGATGGTAGAATAGAATTACTTTTCAATAGAAGAGTATTTACAAATGATAACCTAGGCAATCCAGAATTTCTTAATGAAATAAATGAGAGAGGTGAACCTATAAGAACACATAATAAATATTTCATCAGATTCACTCAATAGAGAAATTAAGCATTCAAGGCAATTACAGAGAGGACGATGAAAACATTGAATCCAGTTAGAATGTTTTAGGCTAGTAGATTCTTTTAAGAAAATGTGAATAAGACATTAATAGAAAAGGAAATGGTATTTATTCCGAAACTTCACTCAATACTAATGTAGTTAGATATTGTAGACTATAAACTTATTCCAGATCCTTAATATGAAACTCTGATTTTATGGTTATAGTAATTCAACCCTGATAAAAATAATGTTAAAAAGATTAATAGAGAGCAAGTTTCTCACATTCTTAAATAGCTGTGCAAAATAATAGAAACTAATGATCATTTTGCCTAACAAATTAGTAAATGTGATGAAAATCAGAATTTTGAATTTACAAAACCAACCGGATAAGCTTTTTAGGAGATTGAGGAACATAAAAATGAATACTCTATGTATAAAATCATAACAGTAAAGATATTCTTAAAATGATAAGGCTCTTGTTGATGAACTTAATTATAACATTTTGATTGATAATTTCCTTTTTCTTAATTAAAAAGCTTAATTTATTGTCAAATAGTTTTGATGGGGTTTTGGGGTTTTGGGGTTTTGGG